ACATTTGAATATACATTACTTGAAAGAATGTCAATTATAAATATTATTTAAATAGCAAATCTTAAAGTGCCAAGGTATTCAAATATATAATACAATATATATATATATATATATATATATATATATAATTAATAATAATAATTTTCAACTGAAATATAAAAATAACCCTAAACAATTATTTATAAAAAAATTATAATAAAAAAATTGTCTATATACTAACTGAAGAAATTATTTCCGCGTAAAGAAGCGCAGCGGCCTCGCTCGTTAAGCAAACGTAATAAGAACGCATTTTGCATTAAAAATCTGGAGACATACTAGTGTCTTGGCACTAAGACATGGCGTGAGACATTAAAGATTACATTACACGCAATCATTTTCTACAAGTTACGATATTTGAGCGATTTACCGGTCACATGGGAGATTTCGATGGAATAAGCTAGATTCAATTTCCCGTTTTTCGCACGTGTATTCAGTCACACGAAATCGCCCATGACATTTCTCTCGCAATTTCGCTGAGTCGCAAATACAATCGCTGCAATATCCGCACGAGCGTATCATTTATCGTTGCACTAGTTAGACGCTAACGTCCGCGTTACGTAATCGTTTGCGAGGTTCGACGTATCGTCGATCGCATGTAACGTTCATTAATTAATCATGTCAATGCGATTCAACGCAATTCGCGCGACCCAACAAAGGCATGCCCGAGTTCTTCGTGCTTTGTTATTCACGGCACCTACGTTTCTCTCGTAAAGTTCGGATAAGTCAGGATAAAGAAATATCGAAATAACCGAACGGCTTTTATTATGACGCGAAGATATGTACACATACATAAAGAATAGTTTTGCTGAAGTATTTAAAAATTTAGCTAGGTACAAATTTGACAATAATTTTATTGAACCATCAAAATAATTACGTAGAAAGCTTAAACGAAAAAGTTTTGACATTCTAACAATCAGTTTGAGTATCGTTTAATCATTTCTATATTTAGTTTTCAACTAAAACAATAGAGTTAAATAATTTAACTCAAAGAAATGTATTAAATTTGTCTGAAAATTTAATTTGTTATTTACTAAGTGTGTAAGTAAAAAAAAAAAACAAACAAACTGTCCATATTAATGGATATTGTTTATTTTGAAACTAACTAGAAATGGATTAATTTATGTTTTGATACATATAAACGTTAAAAATCGGATTGGATTATTCTTTTAATATCTAATACAGTGTATAACATAATTATTTTCAAGATTCAAACAAAATTGTCAAAATTTCAAATCTGTCCCTAAAATTTTAAATACTTCTGCAAAATAGTTCTTGTATACTTTCGGCGTCAAACGGACGCTATAAACGTGTACATACATACGTTTTATCGCTGTATATGGCAAGTTTTACGCGGATTAAGTGCGCGCCGCGGCATTTGTATCGATTTTTGCCTCGTTTAATCGGAAGGTGATTTAACGTTTATTCTCAACTGCAACACGCTCAGCCGGATCTCGATGGTAATAAACGTATCGATTCGCAATGGGGAGCTCTTTACGCCGCGATTAGAGCACGTTTAGAGCCGATCTGACTCGGTATGTGTCGGGCGTGGTCATTCACTCTCAGATATTTTCTTATACTGCAAACGCGCGTGAACGAGTGAGAAAGAAAAGAACTCCCCTCGATAGAAGATAAACGTGTATACGTACACATGACAATGAGAAATATGGATCAGGCACCAGCTCCGGGCTCCGCGCGTTTAAACGGAATCTAGGGTGAATAGGAGTTATCGTTGAAGTATTCCTTTTCCTTGTTTTCTGCGGACGTGGTAAAGTGCACGCTTCATAACCGATACGTTTCTATCGTCCAATAATTATACGCCGCTTTTCATGCACCTGAATAACCGTCATCACTACATTGGCACGCGGTGAATTTTAATCCTCAGAAAAATTGTTTTTTTTGTAATAATAACATGAGTAACGTTTGCTATAACGTAGAATTAGAACATTATAGATGTGTACTATTATCGCAAAAGATTTTCTTTTGAACGCGAGGAGAGATTCAGGGAAGTAATAATCCAATAATAGTATATGTATATGATGTTCGCTGCAACGTAGGATTAGAGCAGACATTACATATGGGAAGAATGATTTTGCTGAGATATCTAAAAGTTTAAGTAGATACAGATCTGAAAATAATTTTGTTGGGCCATCAAAATAATTATGTAGAAAACTCGAGCATAATAAGCAATGCTGCAAAAAAGTTTCACATTCTAGTAACCAACCAGTTTAAGCTACATTATTATTTCGATAGCTCGACAAAATTTATTTTCAGATCTATGTTTAGCTAAATTTTTAAATACTTCAGCACCATTCTTTTACGTGTACGAAAATATGCATTATTATAACAGATTTTTTTTTTAACGCAAAGAAAGATTCAGGCAATTATAACAATACATTCACACTTCAAGAAAAGCCAAATTTCATTACATAAACATAAATATAGTAATACGTACAAGTTGGAGCGTTTACGAATTACAGAAGAAAATCTTTCTATTCTCTGCACTTAAATTAAATTCATAATGTCAAGTTATACTCTCTAAAATGTTTAAAGTAAATTTTACTCTGAAGGGTGAAATCTCACTCTTAAAGACTGAAAATTAGATCTCACTCTTTTTTAAGACTGGTTCAATTTTCACTCTTTAGAGTGAGATGCCATTCCAAGAATTTCGAAAGAGAATCAAAGGAATGGATTGATTTACATTTTGTCACATGTATGAAAATTAAAAAAGGCAAAATATTATTTAATTCAAGAGATTAGGTTATCACTACTCCTTTGATATCTAACAGTATCCTACCTGGAACCTCATTCCCACTAATTGGTCCGGAATTAAAGGCGTAGGTGATTTGAGAGCGCTTCGACCTAAGGTACTATTAGCTTGATACTATAAATCTACATGCTTCGGACCTTTCCTTTCGCCCCGCCGCGCCGCGTCTCGCGGCACGAGACCAAGCCGGATAAAAGTCTGTAGCATGCGGGAGAAAGGGAGTTATCCGCTGGTCTCGCTCCGCTCGATCTCGTGCAAAAAGATTACAAAAGATACCAGCTCGGTCTCTTACAAGCCGCAGCAAAAATACGTATCATAAATGAATTTCAAGTTAACGATACCAAGCATTGTGGTTTCAGTGAATTATCCGATCCCACGATCGTGTTTAGTATGCGTAACACCGCGACGTTTATTCAGAAGTATCACTTGTAAAACTAAGCGAGACGCGAATAACGATGCAATGAAACGAGCAAACGTGATATATTAAATTGTTGTAAAAAAAAAGAATAAAAACAAAATTCTTTTTATAGGATAATGCAAATAAAGTAAAAGTGCCTGTCAACCTTTCGTAATTATTCGTAGTGCAGAATAGGAGAAAGATAAGGCTTGATCGTTGTTATCCGTAACCGAGAAATTATATTTAGAATATAATCTCTTACAATCATTTGTATATACACTGTTAAAATCATGTCAAATTGTATTCTAATTTGAGTTATTTCTAATAATTTCTACAGGTCGCTACTGCTTCTACTCAATATATCATTACTTTAATCCAAACTTTAATTCAAAACAGTGAAATTAAATATTTTAACTCCAGTAAATGTATTAAATTTTATTCAAAAATTTAGTTTATCATTTAATAAGGGCATATCTTAATATGGATGTTGATTATTTTGGAACTAATTCCAGAAATGGATTGATTTACATTTTGACACACATGGAGGTTTAGATAACAAAATGTTATTTAACTCAAGACATTGAGTGCTATTGCTCCTTTGATACCTAACGGTGTAGATATTACGCAACTACCGTTTGAGTTTGACTTACTTGAAGTATGAGCGTCTTGAGTTCCTGATCGCTCAGAAATGCGGGCTTATAATGACCTTCCGTGTATGAGGTAACCGCGCCGAAGATAGTCTTTAGGTGCTGCACCGCCATTCGCAGCACGGTCAGCTTGTCCAGCTTCCGCGACATCGCATGACACATCGGTACCATCGCCGATAGCTCGGTGATGTATGTATTCATCTTGTCCCTTCTGCGCTTCTCGATTTCACTATGATTCTGCCTAAAAGCACAGAAACATCGGGTCCTGTCAGTTCGCCAAATTTTAATAACGAAGATAAAAATGTGAAATTGGATAAAAACAAAAAGTCTTGCTGTATTAATTGAAATCCTAGTAAATTCAACTGGAAAAGTACAAATTAAATTGCAACTTATAATTAAATTTATTCTAGTCGAGATAACACCAGAATTCTGATTGATATTACCAGAATCTTCTGATTCGTTTATTTTCAATCAAAAATTTTCCTCAGTACAGTGTATTATATATGTATTTGATACCAACAGGTATTCAAATAAAGACAACTCGTAAAATTAAAGTTCCGATTTTATTTCATGAAATTACGATATAATATTTATGATCTAGTTCACATCTCTAGTTACGGTTGTATAAGAAACATGTAGCTAATATTGTATCCATATTTTATCGCTAATCAACAGCCAGTGTTGGAATTAAAAATGATCTTAAAATAATCGCCCACATGGTCCAATCTAACAATTTTAATTGGATAAAATAGGGAATTCAAATCGGACATTTTATTAATGCATTTTCTGATAACATAAACGCGAATTATACAGGCTGTTACAAAAATTTTACATTTTTACATTTTTCTGAAAGACAGATCGAGTAACACATATCCCGACATCTCAAATTATTATTTTTTCTCATATTTCACACATATTTTTTTTTCTTTTTTAAATAAGGAATTAAATGTCCACGTGGATGCTTGTTGCGTTAATCGCGTGAACGGAATCCCATTCCATCGTCTGTTTGGTGTAAACAAGAAACGGAAACAAAGATTGGAATGTGCAGAGTTACAGAACGATGTAGTATGGCTGTTGTAAGGTACTCTGCTGACCACAGCAGATTTTTCTACGAAGGTTTCATCCACGTGAACCGAGGCCACGCGCGTTGATCTTTAACCCTCTGGAATTGACGGTAGATTTATTTAATTCACCCAATTATGATATATGCTTTAATTATATTCTTTTAATTATGTATTTTCAATTATATTCTTTACATCTGCAAATTTGAATTATTGTTATTAAAATAAACTTAGAATTTATTCTTTTTTACGTGAGTTGCGTCATTTTGGTTCCTTGAAAACGATTAGTGTCGTTTAATCAACATAAATTACATGAATCTCACAGACCTAGCATCAATAATTATGTTGCAGATTTTAATGTCAGCTCCGGAGGGTTAAAGCTGACTTCTCCAGAAAGCTCAACATACTCGTGCAGTCGCGTGAATTATGCGACAACAAGATCGGCGACCGACGAGGCCGTATGTTAATTACACATAAGGGGAAAAGGGCGATTCGACCCATAAAACGGCGTCTTTTCAGAATGCATGCTGATTTGTCTCTCAAGAATTTGCATTCATATTACGTCCGTGGGGAGATAAATTGCACGGCGGAAATCGTTGCGGTGCGGCGGAGAAAACTGGTCTCGACTCTATGCCGGACTCGGACTATTATATCGCATAATTATGTCTCGATTCAAGTGGACATATCGTAATAGTTATCGTAATATCCGTTAGATTTTTATATCTGGCCTCAGTGAGTTTATAGAATGTATGTTAAACAAGTACCTTCATGGAAAGAACGGTTTTGTAAAATAGCTACCAATTTCTCTAGATACAGATCTCTGAAAATATTATAATTTTATTAAACCAAAAATAATTACATATTCTGAAAAAAAAGGTTCTGATGTACAAACAAAAATTACAGACAAAACGAATTCTGATCGCGAATCAAAATTCTGCAATATATATACAATATATATATA